CAGTCAGGAAATCAAAAGCCATATTTCACTGAGAAGTCTGTTGTCAAGGACCTCTCCAAATTACTGAGAAGCAATGATGTCAGTTTGAAAACTTAAGTGCACCTGATTCAAGCCATGGTGTTTTTCCCCCCAATCACTTGCTATGTATCTGAGAACTCAACAATGAGTAAGGATGACAAAAGAATTGAGGCCTTTGAGTTGTGGGGATGGAGAAGAGTGTTGAATATCCCACAGACAGCCAAACGAACAAGCAGATAGGTCTTGGAGAAATTCAGCCGGAGTGCTCCTTAGAGGTAAGGATGGTGAAGCTTTATCTCACCGACTGTAGGCATATTGTTAGGAGGGGCTGTTCATTAGAAAGGGACGTTATGCTTGGAAAGGTGCAGGGTCAGAGAAAGGGAGGAGGATTCTCAACAAGATTGTCACAGTGACTGTAGCAATGGGCTCAAGTGTGACAGAGATGATGAGGAAGGCACAGGATAGAGCAGGGCTCAGGTCTGTTCATAGGAATGCTCAGTCAGTCGTCTCGACTCAACAGCACATAACAACAATGCTTAATCTGGTGTCATTTCTGTAATAAAGTCAGCAAGTAAATAAAATCAAACATGCACACCAAACTTCTCTCTCTCTTTCTCTCTCTCTCATCCTTGAGTAGGAAGTGACTCTGCAGTGGGTTTTCTGAGGTTGTGAATTGCACAGGAGGAGACTGCCCGTATTTCTCCCCTAGAGTCACTGATGCCATTGATGAGGAGCACAGGTCCCTATAGACTACACCACCAGAGTTCCAGAGCTCTGTTACAACATTCACAAAGAAAAAAATCAGTATTAAGAAGCCAAACAGACTCCATTGTTTATAGCACTCCATTTCAGTAACTAAACCCCTGCATGGGGAATTGTCCCCAGTCTTAAAGCTTTGTTTTGAACTGCTTCCCCGGACAGTAACTGCTATTGTTTAGATGTTTTGCACTCCATGTATCACTGTGCCCTTAATATGTTTCAACAGCAAAATGCTGTCCATGTGTCTCTGTTCCTTTGAAGTGTTTTAAGAGCAAAATGCTATCCCTATATCTCTGGGACTTCGAAGTGTTTCAACAGTAGACTACTGTAGCAAGTAGCCCAGCACCTAGAGCAAGCAAGAGTATAAAAGCTTCCTGACTGTTGCCAGAAGGGGGGATCCTGCTGGAACCACCACCACCCCCGCCCCCGCCACTGCTCAGTTCATAAAGGATCTCACATGTAATCCTGAGGCCTGCATCTCTTGATTCCTTCGGTACAACAAATATGTCCTATTTTCTAAAATGTTTCCATGTAAGGAAGATACTAGACAGTGTCTAAATAAGAAGGACTCTTATACACTGAAAATCTCTTCTCTCCTCCATTTCTCTGGTTTCTTCTAAAGCTATTCCCCTATTTTTCCTTCTTGTACAATATCCCAAGCCAAAGCAACGGAAATCCATCAGGTAGGCAAAAATTAACCCTACAAAAACCAAAAGCAGCCCTCCTTGTTAATGGTTAAAGAAGTTGTGCTTCCAACCCAAAGGCACCTAGTTCCTCCCACCCACCAGCTGTTCCCTGGCACAAAGATGGGCAATCCCTTCATTTGCAATTAATTGCCTCAGAAAACCTTCTAGAGGGTCAGCAATAAGTTGGTTCTGACTGAATGGTATATAACAACATACTGGTGAACAACGGGTGAACAGAAAAATACAACTAACGTCCTAGAGCATAGAACATACATACCTGCAGATGAATGGCTTTACAAACAAATTCCTCCTTCGGGATTTTTCAGAGATACGGGCCCAAACTGGCTCCCCGGATATGCACGATCAGGAATTAGGTGACAGATGGATGACCCTTGAGAAGTGAAAGGAAAGCAGAATTCTAGCCAGGGATCAAACGCTACAAACCTGAAGACCACGCATGCGCGACGTCCCAAACTAAATCTTGCTAATGGAACCCACCTCTTCTGTGCCCACCTGCATCTTATCCTTTTTCTACACTCTCAACTTCCTTAATTCCTCCACACAGTTACAATGTTTATGCATGCTTCTCCTGCCAAAGAAACCTTAAAGAGTCTGCCCTCTTAAAAAGTCTATCCTAGCAGGGACAGAATCCAGCATAGTATATCCCCGTATGTCCCCATTCTCGAGCTCTTGTTCAGTGTTCAGTAAATCTCTATTTCTGTCAAATCTCTCAGCCTCCTCTGGTCATTCTAAGTCTGTTGAAGGCCATTGCCCTGCTTTTCAGGTGTGGCCTGCCACCAGTATTATACATGGTTCTCTACTATATGGTGAAGTCATCTACAAACCAGCAGAGAAAGTTCCAATATGTCAGTAAGAAAGAGAAACACTGCCCAATTCTCACTCACAGCAACACTCTCTCCAGGTCTGGGCCTAGAAGTCTTTCTGGGGGGAAAGTACAGCCCAGGACATAACGTTCTACACCACCAGCATTTCTTAGGAAAGTGAAATAAAGTCATTCTCAGAGCAGGGAAAGAATCCTAAAAAAAAAACCCTATTAAGATCAAGCTGGAGAAAGGCCTTGTGTGATTGTTGTTGTTAATGTGCCATCAAGTTAACTAAGACTCGGAGCCATTCTGTGTACTACAGATAGAAACCTAACCCTGTGCTGCACCATCCTCAGGATCCCAACATGTTCATGGTCATTGTTACAGGCACTGTCAATTCATTTTGTAGAGGGTCTTAGCCTTAGATTTTTTAGTCACTTTTTTTTTATTTAGTGTGTGTGTATGTGTGTGTGTGAAAAAAATTTATATTTGGAATCAGCCAGCTGGACTCAGTTTAGATGATCCCAATTTTGTTGGCAACATCCAAAGCATCATAGTCAGGAGCAAGTCGAACCTAGGCCTTCTTCTCTCCATCAGGCCTAATCAAAGTGTTAACCTTAGCCACATCAATGTCATAGAGCTTCTTTACAGCTTGTTTAATTTGGTGCTTGTTGGCCTTGACATCCACAATGAACACAAGTGTGTTGTTATCTTCTATCTTCTTCATGGCTGACTCAGTGGTCAGGGGAAATTTGATGATGGCATAGTGGTCAAGCTCTTCTGGGGGTATTTGGGCTGCCTTCAGAGTTTCAGCATCTTAGGCTGCTGGAAGGTGGGTGACATGTGGATCTTTTTTTTTTTTTTTTGGCTGTGGATACCCTTCAGGACTGCCTTCTTGGCCTTTAATGCCTTTGCTTTGGCTTCAGTTTTGTGAGGAGCAGGGGCTCCCTTCTTTGCTTTCAGCACCATCTTTGTACAAAGGCTGAGTCAGTCTTTTTTGAGAATGACTAACTGCTTCTCCTGCTGGTATCCTATCAGCATCATCTTGTCAGGTAGCAAGCACATCTACATCACGAAGGTGAGACACCTTGTTCTTCTATGGTTTTACTTAGTTTGTTGTTGTTGTGTACTGTCAAGTCGAAATCAACCCATACTTGACCTTCCGGCATGTTTTCAGAGGCAGTTAATTGCATGAGAGGAGATTATCCATCCTTCTCTCAAGTTTAGTTATCAGCAGTTGTATTTGTTGAGGAGTTTTAGTGGCTAGGTGACAAGAAGCTATGCTGCAATCCTGAAGGCACACAGTTCAAGGCCACTAGCTTCTCTACAGGAGAAGGATGGGCAATCTCCTGTGTGATTAACTGCCTCTGAAAACCCACTGGAGGGGTCAGCTCCAGGGGTCCGTTCTGACTCAAGAGTACACAACAGTAGTATATGTTACATTATTATTGTTAATATGTTATTTTTAGTGTAGTTATTAGTAGTTGTTGTTGTTGTTAAGTGCCATCGAGTTATAGGCAACTCATAGTGACCCTATGAACAAAAGACCTGAACACTTGTATAATTTTCACCATTTCTTCAGGTTCATTGGATTTCCGGAGGCAAGCTATTTTGGAAGTGGATGCCACTCCTGCTTCCAAGCTTGTTTTAATCAGGAAGTTCCACCAAACACTGTCCACCATGGATAATCATCATCACATTTGACACATCAGTGTCACAGTGTTCAGCTTCACAGCAACTAAGAGCTACCTCTGTATGGCAAGTAGATAGACAAGTGCTATATCGCTTAGAAGAATGTTTGACCAAAAACAATTAAATGGCTCCTAATGCAGGAGAGTAAGAAGACTTAAACTGGGTGGAGTAGCCTGAGGGCCATGGATTAAAGTCACCCACATTTGGCTTGGTAGCATCACTTTCTGTCCAATAGGCCAACTGATCTCTCTCAACGCTGCTGTTGTTGTTAAGTGTCATTGAGTCGTAGGCGACTCATAGCGAATGTAGTAATATTTCTTATTCTTAGTATTACCTTTATTCTTAGTCAATGCCTAATTCATGGAGAGCTCAAGCTCAGAACCAGGGATTTAGTTAGCTGTCAGAAGTAGATAGCCAATCCATCTTAATGTGGAAACTTCAGTGAACTCTGTTTAGCGTTATAGCAACACAGATACCTGCTGACAGAAGCCGTGGCTGCGCATGATGTGCACTGGCCAGGAACCGACCGATCAGAATGGGCTGTAGCTTTATCCATACTTGACATCATTTTTTAAAAAAATAAAAATCCAGGTAGCTAGCTATTCACTAAATGAACATCAGAAATGGAAGAAAGGTGAGTCTAGATGTGAAGTTTCCAAAGCAGACACAAAGAAAGACCCTCCTTGGATGAACTGAGGAAATGACAAAGGGCCTTTCCTCTGGCCAGTCACCAAATCAAATAGCATTTATTTCCTGCAAAAAAAAAACCAAACCATTAAGTTTGATGCTTTGATATCACATCCATTTCTATCCTTTAGGCTAGAAACCAGAAGTTATTTCTTTGGAGACTTTTACTGAGTTAGAAGAAGATGGAAATCTTTTTAAAACACAGACAGGGTCCGTGTTTAGAGTTGACAGTGGCCTTCTCTGTGGAAAGGCACAGCTCTATCCAGGGAAAGTGTCTCCCTTTAAGGCAAGGAGGAATCCAAAGCCCTGAAGAATACCCCAGGAGCCCACTCACCTCACCTCAGTCAAATCAGGTCCACGAGGAGGATTTGAAGGGGGAGACTGCATGGTCCGATGTGTCTCCCTCACACTTAAACCCAACACCAGTGGTTTCTCTTCCTCACAATTCCACTCCACACAGTTTAAGTCTTCTTACTCTCCTGGATTAGGAGGCCGTGTTTCCCTAGGTGCCTTAAGACGTCTGAGCTCCTTAGCCAGAAATAGAAGAACGCTGACAAGGTGGAGGTGCCTGGGCACTCCCAGGAGCAACTCCAGCACTGGGGGGGAGGGGATCCTCCACCAAAAGCCACACAAGAGACCCACGGCTTTTCTTTTGTTGCTGGCTGTTCTGTGTGTAAGACCTGATTCAAATATTCTGCCCTTTCATTGGACATTGTTTGGCAGAGCCTAAAGAATTGTTAATCAGCACTCTCAGACTTTGCAGTTGATACAGTTGTGTGATGAGTGAAAAGTTACTAAGCATTCCAGCGATTGTGCAAAGAAATGTGTACTCTGTTTATTTGCATGTATCTAGTAGGCCAAGTTTATTACTTGTGCTATTCAAATCGTCCTTGCTCTTCCTGATCTTTCAAAGAATAATTTTTAAGGTTTCTATCATGAACACAGAAAATTTTCCCCTTGTACATCTTAGTCTTCCCATTATGCTCAAAGGTATGTAATTTGACTGTGTGTGAATCAAAACAAATTATGGATACACGTGTGCTGGTGCCTGCAGCTGTGCACAGAAGCACCTTGCGTCTAGCCTGCCGCCTCCTTCTTCTGACATCCACCCACTGCGCACCGCTACAGAGATGGCAGACGATCTTGGAGATGAGTGGTGGGAGAACCAGTCGGCAGGAGCAGCCAGCAGCCCAGCTTGACAGTTGCCACAGGAGAAAGATTCTGACTGAACTAGGCTTCAGGATGAGGAGATCCCAAAGTAAGGAGCCATCTGCCTGGAGCAGACAAGTCAAGACAGTAATATCCTTTATAAGAAAGATAAGGAGATCCAAGATGGCGGCGGAGGCAGAGACAATGTGGTGAGCTGCGGGAGCAGCAGACCACTTGGAACAGGGCCCCTATGGCCCTCTACAGACTTCTGTTTATTGATAATTGAACAGTTAAACAGTTGATGGCTGGTCTTCAATGAGGATTGAGGCTCAACAACAGGAATTTAAGTATTCCCAAGGAAGAATGGGTGAGTGCCGCAGCTCCCAACCCCCTCCCGCACTGCGCCGCACCACAGCCGCAGCTCCATGAAGCTCCCACAGCCAGAACCTATGGAATCCCTCGCCCAGGATGGAGAGTGGGCACCGGGCCTCCCCAGGACTGGTGCAGTAGAGCCACCACACTGCAGCAAAGTGGACTGGTTTTGGGGAGAATTCTTGGAGCCAAGATGGTGGCAGCAGGGGAAGTGGGTGGCCACAGGCCTCCCATGTACAAGATGAGGCGCACCTGCCAGCTGCCCATGCGGAAGATGGTACGCGCCCAGCAGCCGCCCGCGCGCGAGATGGCTTGAGCCCGCCGGACACCCACGCTGAGGGCTAGCACGCAACCGCCGGCTGCCTGTGCACAAGATGATGTGCGCCCTCCGAGAGATGAAGCCCGCCTGCGGAGAGATGATGAGCGCCCGCCATCTGCCCCGTGCTGGGGAATGGCGCCCACTGGCTGCCCGCCCACCAGTCACCCGCGTGAGAGATGACACACTGGAGATGGTGAGCTCCCGCCAGTCACCCGCGCTGTGAGGTGGTGCGCGCCCACCATCTGCCCACCCGGAAGATAGGGTGAGCTCCCCACCGCCCGTGGGGGGGACGTGTGCCCCGCTGCCTACAAGTTTGGGTTTCCTTGGAAAACCAGAGATGATCACCTATATATAATGGGTTGTTGACGGTCACTGTGAGTTGTCTACTTGATGACACTTAACAGTGGCAGCATGTCCAAGAGGACCAAGATCCTAAATGCTCCACATATTTTGATCTGTTGAATACTTCTGCAAAAGCTGTTTAGACCTGGGGGGAGCCTGTTCACAATTCTCAGGTTCCCTTTGCCATTTCTAAAGGGGGAGGGCAGTGACACCTATTTAAATTATGGGGGGGGGGAGTGGTGGTGCTAGAATTGGAGATGCTGTCCCTGGCCACACAGTTCTCAGTCAGATGAGGGGAACAGATTGGGGTGGGGGCAATTAGAGGTGGACTGTACCAGCCAGCCCATTGGGTGTGCTGCCCTGCTCGGGACGGGCTGTCTTTGGCCCTCAGCTCGGGGCGAGCCATCACAGCCCTCTGCCTGGGGCAGGCTGTCTTCGGCCCTCAGCTTGGGGTGAGCCGTCATGGCCCTCAGGGTGAGCTCCTCAGTCCCCAGATTGTGCCATCTGACCCCTGGGTAGGAAAAAATGCCTAGGGTATCCAGATAATTTTATCTGGGCTACTTTCTGCCACCCTCTCCCCCAGTAAACCGGAAAGCAACACCCCCAAAACCCTCTATTTGTAACTCACAAGTTTGTTCTCTCTAGGTTTGCTCCCTTTCCTATAGGTAACCTTACCACTGAGTTTTACTTCAGACCTGACCCCGAACCCAGTGCCAGGGACAAAAAGGAAATACAACTGCCAGCTAAAGAAGCAAAGGAGGATGGAGCCTCTGGGTTCAACCAGCCATCCCCACTGGACCCACCTGGGAAAACACTTTGCA